ATTACCTGTCATAACTTCAATGAACAGTACTTGGGACGCGCTCGGGTGGGGATCAAATTGACCCCCGAATATTGTTTCCATAATGATTTCCGAACGGCGAGGAGTAGCCGCGCCGAAGTTTGCATAGCAATCGAATGCAATTGAATACAATTGAATACCGGATTGTCTGACGTAAAAATTTAGACGCATCTTGTAAGATCACTCGCCTATGGTAGGTCAAAGACAGGCCATGGTTTCAGCGAAGGCAATTTCTGGGAATTGCTCAGTCTGATCCAACAACGGAGTGTTGGACGAAGCCATACATCTCTGAGATGCTTTCTTAGGCAACATAATAATTGCTTGAGCAAATGACATTGGTCTAGTGTTAGACCAGGGCCAAAACCAACATGCTTTATTACTCTGGGGCTTGGCGTATGGGGTATTTTCTGGCGCCCAATTCGAATGTATTGATAACAGGGACGACATTACAACCTTTCATATACTTTTTCAAGTTCACAATACGTCACTGACCTAAAATGACCCAGTTCAACATTTTTTTTTTAGGAACATACTGCCCAGCGTAATCTTAGTCTTTTATTCAAATGCAAAACTCATTGCAGTCTAGCATTATTTTCGTTATCATGACCTTTAAAAGGTCAGACAAGTTGACTGACCTTAACTGAGTATGTGGCCTGTTGCTTAGAACTATTATCTAGGTTTTACGGGACCTTTAGAGACTTATCTGGAATTTGACCTTGTTTAACCTTATTTGACTCGAAGGTCATGGCCTAGCAAGCTCCAACTTTGACCTAAGTGAGTTCACGTACAGGGCAAAACACCCTATGAATCTCGTGTCTCTAGCTCTCCAACTTTCTGAGACCTCAGTGGGGGGGGGGGGGGGGGGATCATATTACTCTCCCCCCGAGCGAAGGGTATCCAACCGGCCACCCGGGCGCCTGTTAAATTGTCTAATGCCTCGCCAGTGTGAGGTGATGTATCAAAGGCAACTCCATGCTTTCCATTCATTGTTGAAAATGACTCCAGACGGAGCTCAGTAATATCATTTTATTACTCTGGATTTGTCTTTCTTTGGCAGCTGTATTGATGACCCTGCGCAGGTGCAATAACGAGAACCGAGCTTCAGCATGTCAAGAGTCATTGAAAGTCGTGCAAAATACCCAACCAAGTTTTATGGTGAAGATCACAAGTTCCGGTCTGAGTTCGCCAACAAAACCACTCCTGACCCGATAATGACCCTGAGTCAATCACTGTTACCCGGCGAGGAACGTCTGTAGTGCGTGAAACTCACCAACGAGCATCAGCAGCAGGCCAGGGAGCGCCCTCAACGCCGGCCCGTGGCTGCGCGGCATGTTGAGCTGCGCCAGCGAGGTCAGAACGAGTGTCGCCCTCCCGAGCCGACAACAACGTTGCCGGCGTGGCTGCGATCCGCGCCAGCTGTCGCACGCCTCCGGCCGTGCCGAGCTGCAGCGCTATCGGCCTGCCGCTGCTCCGGCCGGTGGGAGGCTGCAGCTGGGCGGAGGGGGCTGACGTCTGGGCCCGGACGTGCGCCGCGGACGCGCCGCCGCCACCTGCCCCGCTCTCAGACCACCCGAGGCGGCACTGGCAAAGGCCCATGGTCGTGCCCTCCGTACTCGTGTCCACCCAGTGGCGGAGGCGCAGAGCGCTCACCCGGTACAATGAACAAGCGGCGTGCATACTACGCTACTGTCGGGCTCACGAAGCCACGGTGAGCTGAACTCGAAGCCGGCGTTGAACACGCGCCCGAATGGCCGGTTGCATACGACGCGCTCATATGGGTGAGGAAGAGGGGCAATCCCATTAGGTCGTGACCCTGGGGTTATTAAGGTAAAAAGTGCCAAGCTCGAGATCGGGGCTGAAGTGTCCTCAGGCTTCATCATCACGGGCTTCACATCACGGGCTTCATCACGCTGTCAGTTTTAACCTAGTCACATTTTTTAACCAAAAGGCCGTAACTCGTGCTTACAGCAAGACATTAACCTTTGGCAGGTCAAAACGACCGAAATCCTGCCAAATTTATTTTCGATTTCAACTTAAAATCGGCAAATTTAAGTGCATTAGCCGACAGGCTCCTCAAAGCAAAACGTTGATCATGTCTATGTCGTACCAAAGGCCACCCCTCACCGCTATGAAGTTATGGTAAGGAACCTGTTATTATTATCGTGACCATATAATAAGAAATGTGCCAAAAACTATCACTAGAGCAAGCTTTCCAGTGAAACTGTGGTTTGGTTTGGACCATTATCTGATCCTCACACCAGCCACAAGGTTGATGGGATTGCCTGCAATCCTATTTTCAGCTGTTTAATCATCTACGAGATCATCCTATAGTTGTATGCCAGTGTATGACACTCTGCTGCCGCATCACTTTGAAAGATTGCCCATGAATTACCTTCGCTGGCAGTCATGACCTGTCTTCGGCGCGCAATCAATCAGCGACCTTATGAGGTATACCCAATCTTTATTCCAAAATATGAAATATTCAAGTTGCTTACAACCATTCCAAGCTTAGCAAGTCAGCCCTTCGCCATTTGCAGGTTATTCTGGAAAAAAATTCGTAAATGTACAATGGACGCTTACCCAGCTCAGCCAGCCGCGAGCTGAATCTTGTGCTGACGGGGCTGCGCGACAGCTTAATGTTGACAGGGACAGATACTGTCCCCTGTTGTCACGACCTGGGCTCTGGTCTAGGCGGCGTTCCGCGTTAGGCAAGGGCGGAACAACACACTTCCGGGCGGTGGGCGGCCTGGTATTCAGGATTGGCTCTTTAGGCGCAGAGCAAGACTAAAAGTACTACCACCTTACAGTGCTCCCAAAACAACAGAATTGACCCTTCAGGGTTAACAATAACCGATGCTCAATGACAGTATAACAACTAGCGTATACTCAGGTTAAACATATGTGCCTTCCAATGCATAATGGTTTCAATCACACCTGGGTGTCATATGTAAAGCCCTAGTTTATCATGCATGCATATATTTTTCACGAAAATCACATTGGCAGTGAGCTTTGAACACCTGTGTGCGAGGCTGCTTGTCGTTGTTATAAAACGCAGATGAGCAAACTTGTCGAAGAAGGTGAAAATGTAATCAAACCCTCATCAGGTACCACGATCTTAGGACAATAACGGCAGACATATAGTCCCACAGGTGCCCGTCCAAGATCGTAGATGTTTGTCACACATCATGTACTTGTCATGGGATATACACAAGTGAATTAAGAGTGCTGCATAGACTTACCTTCGTTTTGCATAGAATGATCCATGTAATACTTCACCCGCTGCTCCACAAACCCCCGCCAGCGTTTGAAGAGGGTCCTTGCCTTTCCTCATCCCGACCACATCTGTGACCGTGAAGATCTTCTGCATCTGCATCTGTGAGATTTGCGTCCGCACCTGCATCTGTGAGATTTGCATTCGCACCTGCATCTGTGAGATGATGCCCACGCACTCGTGGTGTCCAGTCCACGGCACAGGGTGGATATTCTTCTTGGCTATGACATGAGTTTCCTGCTTAATATCAAGTCTCCAGTACACAAGATCAATGCATTATTGGGACCTCCTCTCAGTGACCACAAATCTTTCATCTGAAAATCGGAGGAAGTATTATCTAGCAAGCATCGTACAAATCCTTTCAGTTCAAACAAGATCCTTCCGGCTTGGAACAACTTGAAACCATGCATGTTATCCATGTGACTAAGCCGTCTATCATACTGGCTGTGGAAGCATCCTCTCGGCCCTGACATGGGTCTCGTGCCGCTTGTTGGCTCTGCACTGCCTGAGATCCTTACATTATTGGAGCCTCTTATTATTCATAAAAGCACATTGCACAATCATGTAACAAAATCTCTCACGACCACACCAGTCCTTGCATAGCTGGGGTCTCGTCCCAATCACTACATTTGTACTTGGTCCTGTGCAAGCCTTCCGACCACACCAGTGCCGCTGGTCGCGTGCATTATGGCATCAGGCCTACTGTGGCTTTTCAGGACCTCCCTAGAACTCCAAGGTGGGGAGAAACATGTGTTCACCCGCTGTCCCCACACAGGGTGGGCGACTGCGGCTGTTGGTGACTTGGTGCTAAGCTTTGCAAGAGCAGTGATCAGCGATTGCAATGTATGTGATCCATGAAAAAGCTAAAGTTAGGCTCGTAATAATTTTGTTCTGGCTAAAGCAATATAACGTCGTGTTTTTCCCGACCGTTAGTCGGTGCAGAGGCTGGAGGACGCCTATGTAGCAAACTAGCCGAACTCATGGCGCTCCCAATGGCCCAAAGATGTGATTTCACCAAGTGGTAGGACAGCAGCTAGCTAGAAATTCACTTGGCGTATTGCATACACTGGCCCTAAGGGGCCTTATAGGGCCCTATACACTGGGCCTAAGCGACACAAGCGGTGTTGAAGGACGCGGAACATTACAAGGTCTAACCGATGATAAAGCTATAGTCATAAATCCAAATGCCTGATGTGTCACACCTGTTTTGTTATGAACTCTCCGATCCTGTTCCCCACAAGTAGTCAAACGGCCTCCAGCAAGAACCCATAGTTTTGTACCAGCTCTTCTCTATTTGGTTTTCCCAAACGATCCGGATGCAGTCGCTAAATTTCGTGGAGCTTGTTGTCGATAAGGCGTGGCGTTTGCTATCGCTACACGGGGTTCCGCTGTACGCCACGTGCCTTGCTTCCCAGGCGACCGATGTCGGTATAAGCCCTAGGCGCTTGTCTGCCCTATCACTCCTCCAGTGCAGCACATCTCTGCAATAGGCATGCTGCGCCTTTGGGTACTTGTCACGACAGCTGCGCCTCTAGTGGCGTTAGCCCTGAATTGTAATAACGATTTTGAAGACCTAGAACTCGGCGACAACAGGTGCTATTTCTTCAGCAGCAAAACTGGTGACAACGCGACCTGGACGACGTCTTACGCGAGCTGCTTGAAGCAGCAGGGCAGCCTCCTGTCTGTAGTGGACCCGCTGCACTTCTACCCCATGTCTTATACGGTGGGACGGCTGGGCGTGGACGCCTGGGTTGGTCTGTTTGACATAGCCGGGGACAAACGGTGGTCTGACAATGCCGTTTACAACCACGAACTGGACCAGTTCTTAGCCAATGGGAGCGACACAGCGCAGGTCACCTACGGCTACATTTCGGCCGAGGATGGCCTCTTCCACTTCGGCGAAGGTACGAAGCCGGCTGCGTACGTCTGCTACCAGGACATGACGCCACCGACCCAACCAACGACAACTGCGGTTACAACGACCGCTGCTCCCACCACCACCGCACCGCCCTGCGGTTCGACGAAATGGGTGGTGTACAACGAGACGTGCTACCTGTTCACGGAGGACGAGCAGTACTGGGCCGCCGCCGGACACGACTGTCATGAGATGGACGCCGAGCTGGTGTCCGTCCATAACACAGGTCTGGTGACCTTTCTTCTGCTCCGGGCTGGAGACGCCGTCTACTGGACTGGACTGCAGAACGAGGACACAACCTACGTCTGGGAAGATGGGACGCCCACGACAGACGTGGATGAGGTGTTGGGCAACTACCTTGACAAGTGGGAAGAGGGTAAAAACTGCATAGCTATGAACAAGAGCAAGTTTCCAGAGGCCCTAGTTCATGAGGATTGTTTCAGCATGCATCCTTCTGTTTGCCATAAGCCGCTTCGCTAAGATGCTTTGTTGTAGTCGTTGCAAATAGCGTAATAGCGCCTCTGTTGCCTTAATCATATATTTTCTGTTGCAAGCCTAAACATGTTGAGAGGAAATCTGCAAGGTCCGAGCAATCGTTTTAAGTACGTATTTTACATATATACGCACACGTCCTTGATTCACCAGATTTTGTCTTACGGTAACAGAATTGTAGGGAAATGGTGGTGCCACAATAAAAGGGAATATGCTGTTCGCAATGTTTCTGGCGGTGATTTCAGAAAAAAATGCCTTCTCGGGCGGAGCGGAGTGAAGAAAATCTGCTCACCATATACCACGCAGAGGAAATTGAACACATTCTGACATCTATATTTAGTCGTGGAAATCCGTGCAAGCCATTCTTGTGACCAAAGTTTCACAGTTTATGAGGCATTATATATCTCTCGAACCCCAACCAGACCTCGACAGACTCGAACCCCACCAGAAACCAGATTGCGGCGGATGGAGGAAGATTGCGTTCTGGTACCAAGCTGAAGGTTTCAGCGCAGCTCAGTCCATCGTGAGTGATCTGGCCATTGCTGTTCGTCGTCTTGGGAGTGGTGGATGACATGAAAATGGCCGATTTTTAGTCGTGCGCTTTCACCAAGCTTAGTGCAGTCGGCGGAAGGTCGGATCAAGAATAACATCCACATGGCTGTATATCTTAAACTGCAGAACGTGCTGAGCAGTCGATGATTGCATGCTTCAGTATTCTAAACATTTCTTTGAAGTGTGGAAAATCCAGCTGGCGCCGGACGACATGATATATCACGCTCTTCCCGGTGCTGACATCCGGTGGTGCAAATCACAGCCTCTCTATTTTTCATGGCAGCATAACTTGGACTAGAAAAACAACTAGAGAAGATTTTTTATTGCACCCTGCTGGTGCTGCAGTAACACCACCCAGCGGCAGTTACATATTACACTTGATGGCCCTGGGATTTCACCAGAGTATGTTTTTCAAATCTATCCCCAAAGGCGGGACGCTCCTCGTTTAACACAGCATGGTCATTGACCTCGGAAGGGGATTCATTGTAACCGGGGGAACAGGGGAGGGGCTGTAAATAGTCAAAAGTACTTGAATTATTGATGGACAGCCCCGCATCAGATCTTCACTGCTTTTAATAACGTATTAAAGGGAATGTTCCACACCAGAAAGTATTGAAGCAAGCATCATATATCATGAAACAAGCTCACTTATGACTATTGATGACTATCACTATATGACTTGGTTAGATGACATAATCAAATCATGACACATTGAAGATCATATTTCCCAAAAACAAAACTGTGCTGCTCACTTATGACTATTGGTGTACTTTTTAACTGGAGAAGACTGCTCTAGACAGCACAGTTGCATTTTTGGGAAATATGAGCTTCGATGTGTCATGATTAGATTATGTCATCTAACCATGCACAACATTGATTGAGAGCCAATCGAAGGCTGTCTTATCTGAAAATTGCGCTTACGAACACCAGATATCAACGTCTCGAAAATGATATTTTTATTGGCCTTGATCACCATATGGCTTATAGAATAAAAGGATTTGAATGGCGTCGTTATGACGCCATGAATGACGGGGTGACTTTTGAAACACTCTCCCCAATATACATTTCCTCATATTCGCGGGCGCGTAGCCCATACAATAGAGGGACTTAGGTCATTAGAATTACAGGAATGTGAACAGCTCCATAAGGTGTTAAAGAACGGGTACTGCAGTTCAAAACCCCATATAAATGTGGAACACCCCCTTTAAGCTGCCCGCCAAAGTAGCTATCTGGTAGCGGAGTCATTGGCTGCCCGGTGCGCCATAAGATGGTGTGCTAGTCGACGCGCGCCAGGGAGGCTGAGAGCAGGTGGCAGCTTTGGCTTCGAACGACTCTGTTTAAGCAATTGAGCATACCTAAAACATTTGATGGCATTGCACGTAGATAAGCGAGGCATACCATTCCAAGTACTTTGCTGCACTCCTTTTCGCCCGGAGTGACCTTTCTGCACTATAATACTCGAGCGGCGCGCTGACATTACAGACAAGTACCACATAGCACGTCAGCCTCCCACTGTCATCATTCTCGCTTGATCCTGAATCCTCGCGACAACTCGTTTGAACGGGGCAGGCTCTCCATACACCAGCCATGAATGGGCCCAAGTGTATCCTGGTGGCAGCCCCTCCGAGCACCGAGCACAAACGCCGAACACGGGTCCCTGTGAGGATTCAAACTGGATAGATGGAGTGCGTATAATTATACCTCACCATTATCTACTTTCCTTCATCCCACAGCCCTGAGATGGTCCTCTCTAGACAAAAGGGCTCATTTTAAGCGTGTTCAATCCATTAAATACGTTTTTGATCTTGGAACAATGGGACGCTCCCTCTCCATTAGTGTGACACGTAGTATCCTTAAGATTTGACAGATTATGATCATCTAGAGTGCTTGCTATGAGGTATAGTGTACCACTGAAGATCGGAAGAAGCTGTTTGAGACACAAGGGCACTTTCAGGCTTGACAGCCCAGTGACGTCAGCGGGGATGGCTCAGTTTTCACCCCGTGTACCTATCTGTTGTGATATACGATGCAACACGCACAAAGAGGCCTTTGGTTCGAGGAGGCTTCTCTTGTGCTAAGGGGCCGTGGTTGTCTGTGCTCTGCTTGGCTGTTATTACACTCGTTTATGTTCGGTGGGGTAGCCAGGATTTTGCTCAGGTGGGAGCCAAGTCGAGATATAGAGAAGAGAGCCAATTCAGCCGAAATGGACATCACTTTGTTGTATAATAGGGGTCCTATTTCGTATTTTTGATTCGAAGCAGTTTGCTTGTGGTCATATGCTTGTGGTCAATTTTGATGCATCGAAGGCCCCTTTGGATGCCTTGGAGGTTCTGCGAGCGTGCCTGGGTGACCAGTTGAATACGCGCCGCTTAGGCGAGGTTGGTTCGATCCTGTTGAAGTCTCTAGAATCAGTGAAGCTAGAGACACCAAATTCGCAGGATAGCTAAACTTGTTAATGGACTAGTTAAAGCAAAATTTAAGGTCAAACTCCTGATGGCTGTCAAAGTCGCCTCAAATCTCCTTAAACAACCATCTTTAACCTAGATAAGTCTTCTAAACAAACGGTCGCCGGCCTTAATTGCGGGCCAGTGATCTCACTTGATTTTTCAGAAGTTCCAGACACCAAAAAGCTGCGAAACTGTTCTGTTTTTTAATTTCAATAAGCGTCAAGTATTACGCCAGGTGATATGTTTCCAAAAAGAAAAGATTGATCAGGGTCATTCCGAGTCAGTGACCTCTTGTGACTCTTATGAAGTTCAAGTAACACATTTGTGGGTGTCCCTGTTATTTCTAAATTCGAAATGGGCGTCAAAAACTGTCCCGCAAAGCAAAAGCGTGTCCGGTAAACAAAACCAGTCTGGCTTTGACCTCGACCAGATCCTTATACCTGACCGAAGGTCAATTGAGTATGTCTGTATCTTGAACTCAATTGTTTAGTTATCAAACAAGTCAGTTTTAAGATGTGTGGCTTCGTTTGGCATGTTTATGCCGCAGAGTTCAGAAGTTACTTTGGACAATTTTCGATGTGGCATTGATCCCCACCCAAGCATATGCCCACAAAAAAAACACAGACCCTTGGGCCCAGGGTGCTCCCACCACCTCCAGGTGAGCTGTGGTCTCATAGCGTCCCATGAACTTTTTACGCCCCTCGTCATGTTGTGATATCAGCAAACGGTTTGAACAGTACGCGCGGCGAGTAAGGACTTAAAAAAAAACACATGGGCGTAAACGTAAGCACACGAGCGAGGTTAGACACTTCAGAGCGAAAGCTACCCGGCAAAAACAGTAGCTATGCAGGAGCGTGAAAACTGCCTGATTGTCAGACGACTGAAAACCGAAGGCATTTATTCTTGCCGGCTTCGCAGGATTTCCAGAGACGGACCAGGCCTCGAAAGCCGCACTAACGTCACACAAGTGCCGTGGAGGGCGGCAGTTGCGGCCCTGGCCCCGCCTTCACGTCACATGAGGTCTGCAGTGGGCAGGCCTCATGTGACGCCGGCCCTGGCCCCGGCTTCACGTCACATGAGGCCTGCAGTGGGCGGGCCTCATGTGACGCCGGCCCTGGCCCCGCCTTCACGTCACATGAGGTCTGCAGTGGGCGGCAGCTGCGGTCGCCGGTCCCCGCCCGGGCGGACCCCGGGCCCGGTGTTCCGTTGGGTACTGCGTTGCTCGGTTGCCGTTCCGCTGAGTAGCGCGGCCGGCGGGTGCGGGGCGAGGCTACTTTTTACTTTTGATGCAGTGCAGACTGCCGAGGCCGGCCAGGCACATGTGCGCCGCCTCCTGGCACAGGCTGAGGTCACGATTGGGCCGCACCACCAGCTCCCGACACTGCTCGATGAACCGGTAGAACAGCCGCAGCGCCTTTCTCGGCTCTCCTGTTGGGCAGCAGCGACGTCATGCACCTCTTCGTCATGCGTCTCTAACGCTTTGGCAAGGCCACACCAGTCATACCGCTCACCTCTGTACAAGTCTATCAAGCTATAGTTGTTCGGCTTTGAACATTACATTGCCAGTCTGGAATAACACCACGGGTGGAATAATTGTTCGGAATACCACGCCTGCCTAGTGTGTTGGTATATACACAGCGTTTCGACAAACTAGCTCATCGGCCGTCGTCCGGTGTTAGGGGTCCTGAGAAACATGGCATGGTGTTTGGCCTTTAATCATATACGTGGCACAGCCCGCTTCTGGCTGCGACTCCAGTGCTCTATCAACTGCGCTATCCGTAAGGAACGATCTTGCGGTGGTAGGACTGGGTATATATATATATATATATATATATATATATATATATATATATATATATATCTCTCTCTCTCTCTCTCTCTCTCTCTCTCTCTCTCCTGGATATTTGGGGATGTTTTGTAAAGTAGGTTGCCAGATTGGGCTGATAATCATTGAGTTGATATACACATTTGGCTTACTGATGGGTTGTCTGCCAATGTCATGCATCTTCCGCACACCACCGACAACCGCCACATCTCCACATTCAGGGAGCAGTGCGATGCCGAATGGAACAGTGCATTAGGGCCATCACCGCCGGTAAGAATACCAGCACCAGAAAACTCCCAGACATCGCCCCTGACGTCTAGAACCAGCTTTTCGCAGACATAGGTGTGTTGGCGGCTGCCACTGTCGCCGAGTCGAGACGGGCCGACACCGATGCTGGCTTGCGAGCCGGGCTGCCTCGAGTGGTGGCCTGCTAGTTCCAGGTCCAGCTGGTGCTTCTCGAGCGGCTCTCAGCGCACAGTGAGCGAGCTGAGCAGCAGCCGTGCCTGTGGTACTGATGGACTGTCTGCGCGCTTCGTGAAGTTGTGTTTTCCACTGATGAGCACGTAATTCTGTCTGCTTTTAGCACCACACTCGTAAGTGAAAGCAAACCGAAGTCATGGATGCTGGCAATTATTCTTACCGTTCACAAGTCCTCGGGTTAAAGGGAGTGTGTCTAATGTTTTCTATTTTCCCAATGCTCGCCTAAAGGGAGTTTGGCGGTTGTCTATGGCTTATTCTGGTCGCTAAATGTGCATTTGGGTCTCGCAACAGTTTTCATTTATTTATTCTTATTTATCCTATCTATGGCTGTGCGTGAACAGATACAACCCTAAAAAATACATTAACCAGCGGGCAAGAAAGGACGAATGCACCAGCTTATATGTAGCGAGTAACTGCGCGCTAGAGGCATGGCCATTGTTTGGTTGCTAAGCAACGTAGAACAGCCACATTCCGCTAGAGCCTGGTGCAGCCGATTGGCACAACGCAATACTTATTTCTCATCTCAGTACATACTAGGCCGACGTGAACTGGTGCGTATCAACTGACCAGCCTTACCATACGTCTAAGCCCGTACACTCGCAGCCATCAACTGAATGTAAAAATCAACATGATGGCCACCGCCATCGCCGCGTTCGCAAGCTGCTGTCAGCGCTGACAAGCGACATCCTCAAAAAGCATGGGCAACAACCTTCGGGATCACTTTTATATCTAATTTTGCATTCTTTAACAGCATGCTTCTAGAAGCAAAAACTTTATCTCGGTCGTATCATATCAGTGACGTTCCAAGATCTTCGGGATGTCAAAATGAGAAATCCCTTGACGCCGTTAAAATGCATCAAGTCGAAACGAGCGTCAAAATAAACCTCGCAAGACAATATTTTCTATACAAAATTGTTAGACTTTTACCCTCATCTGACCTCCACTCCGAACCCAAAGTCGATGAAATCAATCATAGCTGTTACGTCAATTGTCTTATTGCCTAAGAAACTATCCCAAAGATCTATGACTTTGTCAACATTACGTCATCGCATAATGACGACAGTTTCCCCAGAAATTACCTACGCCCACACCCATGGCTTGACGTTGATCTATTACAAGTCAGCGACCTTGCAAAGTATACCTAGTTTTGTATGCCACAAGATCGGCCATTGAGTTCCTACAGCTACATAAGGTTTGCACAGTTGCCGCACCGTTCGAGACTCATTTTGGGAAAAGCTTCGGGGGGGGGGGGGGGGAACTAGCCCTCATGCCAGTGCGTGCTAGGGTCTCATACGTTGGTCAACAGGCTCACTACGTCTAGGGTGATCATTTGTGTGCCAGGTGTTAGGCACATACCTGTATACATTTTCTACCAAACGTTGTGTACTTACTAACACACAATACCAGGACGATATTCCGAACTTCAGATGATTTCATCCGTCCCATCCCACACCCGCAGACGATTTGTTCATCCATGTACAAAAAAACAACAACAACAAAAAACACCCGTAATGCACCCGGCGGCTCCAACAGTTGGGTACCATCAAACGTAATGCAATCGGCAGCTACAACAGTTGGGTACCACCAAACGTAATGCACTCGGCGGCTACAACAGTTGGGTACCACCAAACGTAATGGACCCGGCGGCTACAGCAGTTGGGTACCACCAAACGTAATGGACCCGGCGGCTACAACAGTTGGTTACCACCAAACGTAATGCACCCGGCGGCTACAACAGTTGGGTACCACCAAACGTTGGGACGGTAAGTGGTACCGAGGCCGGTCCGACGGCGGGGGCCCCGGCGCCGAGCCTCCGTTGACGCACCTCCGTCCATCATGTGCGTGGCAGACTGGTAATGCTCCTGGGCGGTGCGTAGCTGCCGGAACAGCTCGACGGCGTTGTTTTTCTTTCCGCAACTCGAACAGTTGGCGTTTTTTTTTTTTGGCCGTTGGCGTTTTTACCTGGAATATTGGTGAGGGAGAATGCTGATAAATAGAGCTTCACACCTAATGCTTGAATTCATATCAATATCGAAATTGCATCAATACCATACACTCATCTTAGTTTTTTCCACTGAATCGCTTAAGGACCGTCTACAAAATATGACCTTTGGCGCTACCCCGATGAGAAACGCTAACCATCAACTATCGGGCGTTTCATCGACAAGCATGTGAACAATCAGGGCTGCAAAACAATGGAAAACAACAGGAAAATGAAATCAGCCTGCCAGACTGTTGCAATAACAGAGTCGTGGCGAGGGGCTAGGTCTATGGCCGCCTGGCATGTCCCAAATACAAACCGGCTTCGTGTCCTGTCACGGGCAGGTGCTAGCCTCGCGCCTCTGTACCCCCAGGACATTACGCTCACCAGAGGCTTAGCTGGTGATGCCAGAACCGCATCCCTGGCATTTGATGGAGACCTTGGTATGGTCGAACTGGTCGTAGTCCGGCCAATCCTCCACGCAGGCGACGCATTTACACTCGAACCAGTGCCGGGAGCTGCAAGCCGAGTCCGCCATCACGTGATGCGAGTGGAGGTGCAAGGAATAAAAGCAGGGCGCTTATGGCCTCAGCGTCCAATGTATCCTTTGTGACGGCGGGGGGGGGGGGGGGGGGAGGATGCAGCTCACTGTGTCTCCTGGGCGGTGATATGGAGAATACATCTCACTGTATCTTCCGGGCGGAGGTGTGGGGGACGCAGCTCAGTGTATCTTCTGGGCGGAGGTGTGGGGGACGCAGCTCAGTGTATCTTCTGGGCGGAGGTGTGGGGGACGCAGCTCAGTGTATCTTCTGGGCGGAGGTGTGGGGGACGCAGCTCAGTGTATCTTCTGGGCGGAGGTGTGGAGGATGCAGCTCACTGTGTCTCCTGGGCGGTGATATGGAGAATACATCTCACTGTATCTTCCGGGCGGAGGTGTGGGGGACGCAGCTCAGTGTATCTTCTGGGCGGAGGTGTGGAGGATGCAGCTCACTGTATCTTCTGGGCGGGGATGTGGAGGATACAGCCCACTGTATCTTCCGGGCGGAGGTGTGGGGGACGCAGCTCAGTGTATCTTCTGGGCGGAGGTGTGGGGGACGCAGCTCACTGTATCTTCTGGGCGGGGATGTGGAGAATGCAGCTCACTGTATCTTCTGGGCGGAGGTGTGGAGCATGTAGCTCAATGTATCTCCCGGGTAAGGGCGCGAAGGATACATTTCCAGCATTGCCATAACACAAAAAATAAAGATACGCACCGAAGCCAGTGTTGCCGATCCCGCAGCGGCTTGTGGGAGTACACGGGGCCGTAGTTCTCGGAGATGTGATTGCCCGGGGCCAGGTGCTGGACAGAGTGGACGACCAGGGTATCGCCCACGAGGCACCTAAAGCGAGAGCACGCCCGACGAGCGCAGACCAGGCCAGAGTCAGCACGACACAAAGGCAGACAGCGTCATCAGCTGGGGCGGAGCGGTGACCAGCTGGGACATCTATGTGGTGCACCGTTTGGAAAGCACACGGGCATTACGTGTCCGATAAATGCGTGTGGTTCATCAGTGGACACGGAACTAAAACCGCCACACACAACTAATGAGGTGGTGAACGGCCCGCGCACGACGGCACTGGTGATCAGTCACATTCCGTTCGCTTGTGAGGATTTTTTCTGGCTGCAAGCATTAGCGATATATGTGGCGCGCACTCCAGCCTCACACTCTGCACGCCGAAATTACGAATGTCGGTGAAGGTAAGCGACAGGAGACTACCGGCAAGATCGATATTTTCTGTTTGTTTTTATTTGTTCCAAACCGTGTGCATGTGTGACTTGGCGTTCAGAGTTCTGCAATAAGAGCTTCGTTGCGTTTACTTCGAACCCACCACCTTTCCGATTTATTCCAGCGCGAAATAATTATGCATGGAATTCAGAAGATCAGGTTGCCATAGGAACACAAGAGAACCGCCTCATCTAACAGGATAAATGCAGAGGGTACTAGTACAGCGTTCAGTGTCGCGGCATGTCTGTCGGCCCCAGGTTTGTCTGGCCCTGTCGCTGGCGGCAGGAGCGGTTCATCGACTCTCGTCAGGCGTACGGTCGTCTGCGGCCCTGAGAGCGAAGCCCCAGCTGACCTGGACACGCCGCCTTCGCAGCTGTGGTTGAAGAAGGAGACCGTCGGGTACACGGCCACACCGATGTAGATTCTGCGCGACTGCTTGAACTGGCCCGGTTCCATCATGACGTACTCGCCCACCTCGTGTGCGTTGAACTGCAGCAGCTGCAGGTGGTGCAAGCAGCAGCGAGCCGATCAGCAGCTCGTCCGCCGCCAGCGCGCTGCCTGCGCGGGCAGCCGGATGTCAGAGGAGCGGCACGCGACGGCTGCTGGGATCAACAGCTCAGACGCACGAACTGTTCGGCTCTGATTCTGTCCCTGCAGCTTCATTGGGGAAGGACGCCAGGCACCCTGATCAGTGAGTGGTAGGCATTGTTAACCTCCTAGGAGCTGAGTTGAGGAGGCTCATCTTCACCAGCCACTGGACGCTTGCTCAAGGGAACCAGGATGAACCGGAGCGGTCGCGCCACAACCTTGCGAGGTAGATTCGAATCTGACGTACGGCTGACTATTTTCAGGTAACAACCTGAGGTATCGGGTTTTTTGTCCTAAATTTAATATTGCAGTTGGTGCGTTAGTGTTAATTGAATCTGAAGTTGCATCTTACTTCTCTGACACATCAAGCTACGTCTTAACGGAGATAAACGGGAGCGCAGCTAGAGCTTGGTGAGAGACGGAGAGAGAGAGAGCGAGCGAGAGAGAGAGAGAGAAGAGAAGAGAGAGAGAGAGGAGAGAGAGAGAGAGAGAGAGAGAGAGAGAGAGAGGAGAGAGAGGAGACAGAGAGAGAGAGAGAGAGAGAGAGAGAGGAGAGAGAGAGAAGAGAGAAGAGAGAGAAGGAGAGAGAGAGATGAGAGAGAGAGAGAGAGAGAGATGAGAGAGAGAGAGAGAGAAGAGAGAGAGAGGCAGAGAGAGAGAGAGAAGAGAGAGAGAGAGAGAGCGAGAGAGAGGAGAGAGAGAGAGAGAGAGAGAGAGAGAGAGAGAGAGAGAGAGAGAGAGAGAGAGGAGAGAGAGGAGAGAGAGAGAGAGAGAGAGAGACCATAGGGCAGATATAGGGCCCCTGACCCTGAACGTTTTCCCACAACAAAAAGGCAAAAATAATCGCGCATGGACCGCGCAATTTCGAGGGGCACGAATCGCTGTTCTATTTTTATGTTGACACCTCTTAGCTGAAACGGGACGCAGAAGCTGCCGGGAGTGCATTTTTTATGTGAAGAAACTGAAGGAACTAGGCGTTAAGCGACTTCATAGTATAAGCCGCCGACAGTATTCATTTTGCAGTTGGACTCTTCGAACTCACTTTATCTTAAAAGGACTTTATCCTAAGCTTATAGCACTTCGGGGCCTTGCTTGAGCTTTTATAAGTTCTTCAGAGACGTTGAAGAACTTTGGAACGTCGATTGTATATTAAAATGGGGTAAGCGTGGCCAATTTAACTTCACATGGCCAACCTATGCTAGCCTAAGGATGTGCAACCATTACTCAGGATCAATGCGTGAAAAATTGTGTAGCCCAGTTTTGAACACACGCGATCGCAAGTCTTAGAAAAAAGTACCCCGACGCCTGGCGGTGCAGTCTCTATAGTCTGCGCGGTGTTTGTCCTATCGTGAACATTTGCTGTTAGCCACGCACGACGACATTAATTCGAACATTTCAAAGGTAGTCCAGGCGTATATTGTTCCATCTGTGAGACTTTCCGATTGATCGGTTGTAACAAAACTTAGTGCTAAACGGCACCGCGAATTGGAGTTTAAGTCCGGTGGTGGAGCTCAAAACCAAAACACAGACTCCTCTTTTGTGTTTCTTTAACTCTATCTGTACGGAGGTCTAACTCGAAATCAAACAGGTGAAACATACGCTCCAGACTAATCTTTGATTGGTACGAGTTGATTTTGATGGACTTTCGGAGATATTATTTCACGACGGCCGTGCCGCATGCCCGGCCCGCAATGTGTTCTCTGAAGCGGCCACCGCCTTTTGGGTTGACGGAAACTGTAATTTCCCCAGTCATCGCTGTTCTTGGTTTTTAGATTGCGCGCGCGGAGGCTCCTAACTTCCCTCATGTAATTTGTTTCACCTGTCGATTCTGAAAAAGACAGACGTCCTTAGGCAAATGTGGGTTCGCCTTCTTTCATTTTTGACCTCGTTTCGTTCCATCCTATTGAACACTGAGGACACCTCCTACCTTTTTCGGGTCATGGGTCCTAGGGGTAAAACACTAGGGGGTACGTTTTGGTCCCAGTTAGGGGTTGAAGGGCTATTCCGTCTCAGCGCGGGTTACCTACCGGCTGTCATTCTGACGGCACTGGGGCCTCCTTGGTCGATCGGGAGGCCCTTAGACGGATTCGCCACGTGTTAGACCATTCCTGATGCAGAGGGCTCTCTGACCAGTGTCCTAGAATTGCCAACTCTGGGTGCAAAGCTTCACCTTATGAGGATGCATTTTTCACTTCCTTTCCCCATATATGATGATAATTTTTCTCTCTCACTTGATATTGCCTAGCCACACATACAAACCCATCTTTTCCTTTCAGAGGCTTTAAGACGTCATCCGAAACCGAGCTCACTTGAAACCATCAAGCATAAACGAGGCTACACAGAGCCTGGACACCCACGGCTATATCCCGCCTCACCTACATCTGAATCATTCCTATGCATGCAAAGAGCAGGGGCGCCAGGTACTTTCAAGCCCGAGAGCCTCGGCCACTCCAGCCGCTTGCATGTATCAGGTTTGGTTCGTTCGCGACATGCATCACAATCTTTAGTTGTGTGCTAAATGCAAAGGTTTTCACGCATCCCCATTTTTGGGGGTGACACCACGCGAACACCACAGTGAAACGAAGCCTGATGCAAACATCAGAAAAGCCTGGTAGGGAATTGTACTCCACGTATTTCATTTACCTGAAGAAACTTGACCACTAAATTCCACCACTCCCGGAATGAAGGAAGGAAAAATTCAAGAAATGCCTTCTAAATGAAGCCCCAAAAATGAATATCACGCATTGAGCACCCATTTTCCAAGATTTCGGTCGGGTTAGTTGATTAAAAAAATTTGACCGAACAATTCTAGGTCTTTATATTAATTTTAGTAGCTTTTTCGAGCTCATACGAGTGTGATACAACTTTGCTTTTTCTTCCTTTCCGATAATCTTACAAGACATTATCTTTGGCTTAAAATATTGACCAAATGCTCTGCAAAGTCCTCAAACTCAAACTAACATACAATTCACACAGAAATTGGATTAGTTCGCCATGTGCCCAAACATGCTTCCATGCATCCAAGAGAGAACAATTCATGAGAAATGGAGACAATCTGGTGCGCGGAACTTATTTTTACCACCATTTTGCCCTGCTAAACCACCAGTTAGCGTTTTTTGGAGGGGGGGGGGAATGGCGGGGCTTGATAGCGATGAATCTAAGCCACTCCGGTTTTACTATCTCACCACGATTCATTATCCTGCTGTACGTAGCTTTGGGACAGACCTGGCGCTGCTAATATAGACATGTTTGGTAGCGTAATTCTGTCCTGCGAGACTATTCTCATACATACATACCCTCACTTGTTTCGCATTTTTATCTTGTAGGCTGGTGGGCATGATTGCTACTTATATTTTGTGGGTGGGTTGGATGACCCTGTCTGTCAGCAAACTATGCGAAAGCATACTGATTTCTCGTGTGGGGGAGCAGAAAGAAGCCTGCCTTTTAGCCAATAGGTTTTTCCCGTGGAGCGACTAGTTGCTAACCTCACCATCTTTCGTCACGTGATTTGTAACCAAATTTATTCATTTTCTGTTTAAAGCCATCGGGCTTTGTTCTTACGACAAATTGTGATGCCACAAGAGATGTTGTATAACTATTTCGTTCCATAACTTGACTATTTGCCTCAAATTTGTCGAAGTGATTCCTCACGTCTGCTAGTTTGCTGACTGGCACATTACTGTACTGTAGACATGCGGTATATTTTTCTTAACGCGGGAAGACTATAAGCTGCATGGCAATTACAACGTGAAGTAGATATGGGTTTTCAACAGAGACTATCCTATTTAAAATGTGAAGCTAACATCTCAATTTTTAAGTCATTGAATGTGAATAACCAGACCTTCATGTAGACATTTGTCGCAGCTGAAATGGCAAGCAACAAAACTGGTTTCATGGCCATCTATAATTTATGTTACGTTTGGAGGACACAGATTGTTTTGCGAAGCATACTCACCATTGCCCTTGACAGAGGCTGATCATGACAATCAGAAGTTATTCAAAGTGATCTGAGGTTTTTGGACTTGTGTGTTGTTGACTGCCTGGTGTCAACAAGCTGACACAAATTAATTACACCAAAATGCAAGTTGAAACTAGTCAAACATAAGCTTCATCATGTTTTTATCACAAGTGCTGCTGTTAAGAAATGGGTGGGGGAGTTGAGATGATGTCCAGCATATTGGTCATCATAAGTTGGACAAATGTTATCTGGTTGCATGACAAGTGGCAGTAGAAACTTTGTAAAAACCAACGATTTACAAATACTGCTGTAATGCAAATAGGTTAGACGGCATGAGATAAGGTGAGGCCTCGTTAGGTTAGACTTAGGTAGGTTATTTTCATGGAAACGAGCATTGGTATTTTGCAAGAAACAGTGACATGCTATTCATATTTTCAGACCCTATCTTAACACGCGCCCGGGTGGTCGGCTAGCTACCCTTCGCTTGGGTGAGGGGGGGTCAATTAGACCCGCTGAGATCTCGGGAACTAAGAAAGCTAGAGACAACGAATGTACAGGGTGTCTTAACTTGCACGTGAACTCCCTTAGGTCAAAGTTTGAGCCTCCTAGGTCATGACCTTCAGGTCAAAAAAGGTCAGACAATGTCAAATTCCAGGTTGGTCTCCAAAGGGCCCCTAGAACCTAGGCAACTGTTTCTAAGCAAAAGATCAAAGGCACATCTGAGGTCAGTGACCTTGTTTGACCTTCTGAAGGTCATGATGACCAAAACCACGCAAGACTGCTCTGAGTTTTGCATTTGAACAGGCGACAAAGATTACGCTGGGCAGTATGTTCCTAAAGCAAAATGTCGAATCGGGTCATCTTAGGTCAATGACTTTTCTGACCGCTAAGAAGTTAATGGAAGATGTATAATGCGGATCCTGCTGCCAATAAATTCGAAATGAGCACTACAAGCTATCCCATACAAGCCCTAGAGCAATAAATCAGGTTGGTTGTGACCTTGGTCTGACCTTCATACCTGAGCTAAGATCAACGTAATTTGCTCATTCAATATTTGTGGTGCCTAAGAAAACATCTCAGAGATGTATGGCTTCGTCAAGCACTCCGTTATTGCATCAGATTGGACGATTCCCTAGAAATCGCCTTCGCTAAAACCATAGCCTAGATTTGACTTGCCATAGGTCAGCGACCTTACAAGGTACATCTACATTTGTGGTGTCAAACGATTTGCTATTTAATTTTTTACAGCTATGAAAAATTTGGCGCCGCTACGCCGCGCTGTTCGGAAACCATTCTGGAAAACCTTCGGGGGGGGGGGGGGCGGGATCAATTTGACCCTCACCCGAGCGCGTGTTAACAGAAGCCAGAGGTATGTTTGTGGTGTATGATTTGGTGGCGTGGTGGTATGCAGGAGTCTAAGGCTTATTTGTTTGAATGTGTTGTGCTTGTTGGTCTTTTGTTGTTGTGTTTGTTGTTGAATTCGTTTGCTATATTTTATATTAAGAAAACCTACGAAAGGGAAGCGCAAAGTGCAGCATCAAAAGGCTAGTGTTACATAGCTTTTTATGCTCATCACGCCATTCTGAAATTAATATTCTTTAATGTATTCTGTTCCACTGCAATGACATAAGATGTTAAAATACATTTTTGTCATGTGTCTGATATCACATTCATGCTAACTTGAAATGTGTGTCCTTGTTTACTAGAGAATCTCTCACTGACTCGTAAGTTCCAACTTTTGTAACTATAATTTTTCACTCTCGCACAATCTTTTTGCGGATAAATTTTTCACCCCCACCCTAGTTCAAAAGCGATTACAGCTCACTGCATCTTACCAAGGTAGTTACCCCGTATCCACACAGTGGTCCTCACTGACGCAAAAGGATCCCTTTTCGCCGCCGAGGATCCAGTGGCTCGTAAAGAAACTCCAGTTTGGCCTAGTGATCCTTGGCTAAAGCAGGGTGAAGGTCCCCGCTGGGTGCAGACTGGGACCTGTGATCAACATAGGCCTTCCGTTGGGTCGCTTTGAACTCCCATCGTGAGCTCTCATATCTCCTTTAATTATTAAGGACTCCCACCCCAACGCGACAGACGTGACAGGCCCAACATTCGAAGCCCCACCACTGTCCTTGTTCAACAAATATTTCCCTGACCTACTTGGGGCCCCTTCCCGACACGAAACCCCTCACCCCGGTGAGGCATTGTGGGCCCCTGACCGACACAAGAGTCCCGATACTGGTTTGGGGACCCCGAATAAGATGCAAATCGCGGGCCCCGGCGTAGTCCTTTCTTGGGAAAATGAATCCCTAGGTCCCAGACCTACGCGGAGCCGACTTTGTGGTGTCGGCGGTCTCTGGCCGGAGTAAAGGGCCGTATTTCCTTCGTATTGTGGGCCCCTGACCGGTCCAGAAGCCCTCAGTGACTCAAAGACACCAATCAATATAAATTGCGGGCCCCCCTTAAATCTCCCTGAGAAATGGGCCCCCGGGCACAGGCCGGCATAGAGCCGACTGCACAGGACTATTGGTGCCTGACCGACGAGTCCTTCAACTCAGGGATCCTGATCGGCGCAAAGGGCTCTCTGACAGGCACTTGAGGGCCTGGACCTGCGGGCCGGGCTCCTTAATATAACATTAGGCCCGCCCTTCGTGCCCTTTGGGCGTTCAAATCAGGTCCTTAATCGTTAATCCCGTGGGGCCCAAGGGTTCTTAGAGACCGAAGCGATGGGCACGAGGCCCGGACCTGTGCCCCTTCCTCGTTGCCTGGACCACTAGAGATACAGCGATGCCATATTGTCAACATAATGCGGTGGCATGCCCCCACAAGTGCGAACACTTGCCATCATCCTCCAGGATCTCTCCTAAGTATCCCGTCATCCGGAGATGTTTGAGTAAAAGGACTGCCATTAGGGTGCGGTGGAAGAAATCCTCCGGCTTCCTGAGCTCGCCCAGCGTGACCAGCTGGTGGACGGCCAGGTAGCTGGCGGGGTCGAAGGTGCGTCCCTCGGTGTCGGTGCAGGGACGGACGGTCGGGTCTCGCTCCCTCGGTGTCGGTGCAGGGACGGACGGTCGGGTCTCGCTCCCCCGGTGTCGGTGCAGGGACGGACGGTCGGGTCTCGCTCCCCCGGTGTCGGTGCAGGGACGGACGGTCGGGTCTCGCTCCCCCGGTGTCGGTGCAGGAACGGACGGTCGGGTCTCGCCGCTTCTCCAGCGCAGGGCGCAGCTGGGGAAGGCCAACACGCCGGTAACATAGTCGCTAACCGCATCTGGCGACCGGCTCCGGCCCCAAACACTTGGCGGCCCTCGAGACATGCAAACCTGGGAACGGAAACGGACGCAGCCGACAATGTATCAGCACGGATGCATTCCTCAGGGATTCATACCTATCCCAACCTCAGGGATTCATACCTATCCCAACCTCAGGGATTCATACCTATCCCAACCTCAGGGATTCAACGCAACAAAAGATTGCAACTGGTGATATTCAATGTATGCAATTGACCTGCGTGATTGGTAACAGACCACTAATCAAGGACCATAACGAAGCATCCCGGCGCTACCTCCCTTAAGGTAAATCATTACGAAGCTTCTCATAATCGGTCGCGTGCCTTTTGCACTCCTTACACAAGATGAACTAAAACATGCGTGATATATACGCAATTCGTTGAATATTAAAGAATGTTTGGCGGTATGGTTGTGAAAAAGTAAAACATGACTATTGCTCTGCCAAAATGGTGACATTTTCGCAAAATTCGCCGAAAACATGAAAGTTGTTGCGTCCTTGATAACATGATTGCTCATTTTACAATAATACCGACAACACCGTGGACCCTCCGACAAAAAACTATTTAACCAAAGTGGTCTATCTAATCAAATTGCCCCTTCAGTGCAATTTGCGATTATTTTCAAGGGATATGTTATACACACTTAGAGGAATGTTGAAATCTTGCCAGAGCTGTAGCATTATCATCAAGTTAGCAAACTAACTTGCGCGGATGTTGCGTGACACGACATGTTACTTCTGGAAACAGCCCATCCGCTAGCCGATCCGAACACTGTTTTCCTTGGAGGGGGGGGGGGGGGGGGGGGAGCATGCCGCTGCCAGCCATCATAATGTAGCAGGTCTCACAGCAAGCATGGAGCGGAATATGAGAAAATAAATTGGGAAAAAGGAATACAGCGTACGTGGAATAAACCGATGCATCCATTCCCATTGATTTGACTTGGCTATGAAGCTGCTGTTGGTTCATGTCGACAGATGGTATTTTATTGTTGCGAAAGATCTGTGCTTATCGACTGTTGACAGAATGAAGCAACTGTATGCGACTGTCCGGGGTAAGATAGCAGCATGGGACCGCAGACGCCAGCTGGTGGACGGCCAGGTAGCTGGAGAGGTCTCATGCGACCACAGGTAGTCAAAAACCCGAGGTTGAATGAATGCAACAGCTAGCTCCGGACTTGGACTGACAATAATCACGCTGTTTCAAAAGCTAATCTCGATATATTTGACACTCATGTGAAGTGCAGACGGGAGCAAGTGACCAGCGTGTTGCTATCAAAATGTTACTTCCGTCGAGCGAGTGCTTAAAACACAACGCTCAGGCCAACACTTCGCACGTGCTCGCTATGGTCGGCTCCGGGGCAGCCGGCAGCGTCGATAGGAGCACGCCGCGGTGGCAGGCGTCAGCGTCGATAGGAGCACGCCGCGGTGGCAGCCGGCGGTGCCGCCAGGCTCACCTCCGGGGCAGCCGTCAGCGTCGATAGGAGCACGCCGCGGTGGCAGGCGTCAGCGTCGATAGGAGCACGCCGCAGTGGCAGCCGGCGGCACCGACGGCCTCACCTCCGGGGCAGCCGTCAGCGTCGATAGGAGCACGCCGCGGTGGCAGCCAGCGGCACCGACGGCCTCACCTCCGGGGCAGCCGTCAGCGTCGATAGGAGCACGCTGCGGTGGCAGCCGGCGGCACCACCGGCCTCACCTCCGGGGCAGCCGTCAGCGTCGATGGGAGCACGCCGCGGTGGCAGCCGGCGGCACCGACGGCCTCACATCTCGGAAGGACTGCATACTGTGCCTGGTTACAAGCCGCAGCGCCAGGTGGCACAGCACGGACATGCCGGAGGCCTGCAGCAGGTCCAGGATGGTGCACTCCCAACAGTGATAGGTGGCGGCCGCGGCACACTCGGGGCTGCAGAACACGACGCTGCTGCACGCGGCGCACGGAAACGCCGTAAGCACCCTGCAGAGCAGGCGGGACCGTCTAGAGCGACGGCCCCGCCCAACTCGCGTGCCGGGTAAGCCTCTCAGCCAGTTGTTATTCGCGTGTGATAGCTATTTTACGTCGAGGTATATTTTACACAGTAAGTGGTGTTTCGTTCCGCGTCGCGACGAACTCGGGCTTTGAAAGTCTCTTCAAGTTCACATGTCTAAATACTCGCCGCCTGCGAATACATACGGACATGAACGCCACTGTAATTGAACGCTGTTATCGCAGCAGACTTGCTCTCGCCCTCTTTACGTACTTCCTTCAGCTGCTGGATATTCAACAACGGTACCGAACGTCCGCCGCGTAGAGGACCGCAAGTGAAAACTCGCAAGGGTTTGGTGGCGATGCGTTGTCAATGACATCCAAAGGAGACAACCGAGCTATGGCCACCCGTAAGATCACCCAGACCAGTCAAAAACTGACACATTTTTAGCACTGAAGAAGCGGAGCAATTTTGAACGCCAGTCTTATTTTATAGCATTCTTTGAGGCAAACGAAAGCGAAATCCGATGAATGTTTGAAAATCAATACAACCATTTTGGACACCTAAGCCGGAGATTCCCCCTCCACACCCAAGATGGCGTTCTGGATCCTGTTGTGCGTAGTCGTTGGCACATGAGTATAAAACGACATTTTGCATCAACAAAAGATATAAATTTTGCAGCGATACACGTTTTGGGCGATTGCGACCAAAGCCTTACGAAGTACGAAAAATCCTCGGCTGGATATCAGTCACCTTGAAATGAGCTTTACATCTGGGTCAGTTTGACGCCCACAGACCGCCCAGTTTAGGCGTCGGGAGGGTGCATTCGATATTAATGAAGCCGCAACCTTCGTCGCTTCCGGTCGATTGCTAGCGTTGTCACGGGTCTGATAGTGTTGGAAAGAACGGCTGATTGCACCTGACTGTGCATGCACCTGCTTGGTGCAGTTGGTTTCACGTCTGTTTGCTCCGTTCGCCGATATCTGAACTCCATCCTGAAGAGCCGGAAATCCGTCGGGTCTGCTGTCTGCACACGAGTCCACGTGCGCGGCCGCGCGGCTGATTCGCGCGCCTGCCTGGGCTATTCATCATTCTTCTCTGAATCATATCGTGCTGATTGAGTTTCACTGTGCCGCTCGGCTGGCGAGCTATACGTTTTTGTCAATTTGAGAACTTCGTGGTTCCTGTGCAAAGCCAATAGGGCAAGTTGGCAGCGCTGACCGCGCCCCGCCGGTCAGACCCGGTCCCAAGCCCCACCCAGTGATGCGGAGCTGCCGGCCTAAGCGCACACCCACATCCCAGGCGGCGACCTGACGCACACCACATCCCAGGCGGCGACCTGACGCACACCACATCCCAGGCGGCGACCTGACGCACACCACATCCCAGGCGGCGACCTGACGCACACCACATCCCAGGCGGCGACCTGACGCACACCCACATCCCAGGCGGCGACCTGACGCACACCACATCCCAGGCGGCGACCTGACACCGGCGCCAGGCTGCGACGCTGTTTGTGCGGGACGGGCGCATGGGCATGACGGATATCATACTATAGATCTCAAGTTTTCTCTGGTGTAACCCGCTCTGAAAATGACCGATGCCCCGCCGCTCCTACAGAATCTCTGCGGTCAGATCAACCCAACCACGCATTTACCTTGTTCACATGAGCCAACCAAAAGGGGTGATTTTACGAGGAATATGAAAACACGCCGTTTCTGCTGACGTGAACGGGTCCCAGCGACTCCGCAACAGCCACACATTGTACCGTAAGCTTACGATGGGGGAAATTTACGATTCGCGTAAATCTCGGAGAAATAACTGAGCGTGCTGCTTGTCTTATAATGTATTTTTTGAAACATTTGTCAAGGTCTGATATAACCAAATCAGAAGACAAAAAATCAAAGGCAAACCAGCTTTCCGAAATAAGGTAAATCCATTCATCCTGCTACATTTTCTGTTTTGAACTATTCTTGAACCAAGCTACGTTTCGTACATCTTGCATCTTCCCATCGTTTCTTTCGGCCGCCTTGTGGCGGGTTTCGGCGTTGCACGCCGAGACGGCGGAGGTGTCGTTGGGCTGTCAGCGCTGGTGTTTCATGCGTTTTTGTTCGGTGAAATTTGTCATTGTCGTTACCCGCTCGTGTAAAGCTGCTTTATCTAGCTTATAAAGCATGCGCCAATGGCCGCTGCAAGCAGAGCGTGAAGCGGATGGCGTCTCTTTAGCTGTGCGATGGTATGAGACCCCCTGCGACCTCTGCTCATCCCATTTTTGGCATGAGCAGCTTTTTGGCGTTGCAATAAATGTTTGGCATACAACCACACCAGAAGTACGGCTTGAGCCAAGTGCAATTCCGCGCCTCCATCATCCTCGTATCTGCTGCTGCCTGCTACCTGTCGCCTGGGCGCAAAGTGCTCGCCTTCAGCTGTAGTTCCGCACGCCGTTTTCGCCGCGCTTGCGCCAGAAATGCAAGAACAACACACATTTTCAGTCTAACGCGCTGGGCGCTAATAGTAAATTCACGATTAACTTTGCAATTAGCTCACATAAACGTGCCAAATTATCGTCACTCTCGCGAACGATTCGAATCGCAAATGTACAGCTGTAATTCACCGACTTATGTAAACTGGGTAAATGAGCCGTGTTGCCGAGTTAGGACCCCTTGACCCGGCGCTCCCCCCTCCGCACCTGGTGTTCCGCCGGCCGGCGCTGACCTCTTCAAGCAATGGAGACAGTGGGTGCTCATCTTCTCAGCCATGAGGACGGAGGCGTGCGGCTTCTCCACCACCAGCACGTCGCCGGGCTGCACGTGCTGCGCCGCCACGGCGTAGCGTCCCTCGCCGGCCGCGTGTGCCACGTCCACAGCCGCGCTGGCGCTGACGAAGTGTCCGCCACGGGAGGGCAGCGGAGGCGGCGCCGGCTGCTCCAGCTCCGCCTGCAGCACTGTTCAGCCGGTGTCCGAAGGTGGGCTGTTCACTTCGAGCCACGGGCCGAGACCCGCCGCCAGCCACGCCAAACAGGGCTTCAAAAGGATATAAAATAGCACAGACCGTGCCAACGTTCTTCAGTGACGGGCAACACCAAAAGTTGGTATATGCTTAGCATTTATCTTATCGCCGGCGGACGCTGGTACTTACGGAACAATCTAGATTAAACACGGCTCAACACAAACATTAGCAATGGTTCAACAGCATTAGGCCCCAAACGCATAGTTAGCATTACAAATGGGGAAGACTGCATGTTTCATGTTTATCAGACTTCAGACATATGCATACTGTGCGTAAAAGTTACTACATGCACGCAGTGAATACTCAGTGATAGATTTATTGAATAGCATACTTACTGATAGGCTTGCAATCCTGCATCAGGCAGGCAGTTCGAAGCAGGCAATCCTGCATCTTCTTTGTTCTGCAAATCTTTCTGCCAGGCCGCTTTTTTGTCTGCCAGGCTTCTTCTTTTCGTTGAGGTCGACCACCGTAAGTGCCGTTTTTAACTCCTGCAGTGTCCCGCGACTGGCTGTGACTTCACCTGTAAATCCGTCATTATAATCTTAATATGCAGCGAAAAAAATAATGACCTCTCTCCCTTTCCTTCCTTTTCTTTTTCATTTCATATCTTTCCCTCCCTTCCCTTTCCTACCCTCCCTCCCTCCCCCTTCCTCCCCTCCCCTCTATTCGCTCCCTTTTCCTTTACCTCCATTGTCTGTCGTGCCCTGCCCTCTCCTCTCCTTCCCTTTCCTCCCCCTTTCGTTCCATATTTAGCCCTTCCACTCCATTCCAATAACTTCTCACTCTTCCCCACACCTTTTCTTCCCCTACGCCATTCGTTCCCTTCCCTGCCCACACCTTCGCTTCCCTCCCACATTTTATCTTCCCCTCGCCTCCTTCCCCACACCTTCCCTTCCCTCTTCGGACCTTTCCCTCTACCCTCATTCTTTCTCCTCTTCCCCCACCTCGCTCCCCCTCTCTCTATCTTACACAGACCCAGTTTGAGTTGGCAGGTGGCACGCCGGTCCAGCAGCTTGTCGCGCAGGCGGGCCGGGTAGCCGGCAGCCAGTGCCGCTGTGATGTCGCGCAGGCAGAGCGCGTACTCGCCCATGTGCAGCAGCGCCGCCGACCGGTTGGCGAAGCCGATACTGAGCAGGTCCCCTGTCGTGTCGCAGAAGGTCAGCACGCCGGAACAGCCTGCACACATGTCGGTGTCGCGCACCCGGCCACCAGCGGTGCCTTGAGCAATGAGCAGTCGCAGCCATTCGAAGACACGGATCGTTTTTGACCGCGTGCGGCAAGCTACCCTTGCTCAGCGGTTACGTTCTTTTCGTTACGAAAACCTCAAAGCACCGTACTTCCGCAGCCTAAAAAGATGAAAAGTTATGGGAAAGACAAAAAAATTCGGCTCTTAAATGTTTTGCTGCGCTCTGAGAAACACTTAGAACTACAAAAATACTGATGGGAAAAATCCTTAATTCGCAATCCTCCTTAGACCGATGACGTTAAACCCAGCGAGCGCGAGATACATACTTCTGCTGCCGATCGGCATAGCACGTGTTCCGCTTGGGCAAGTCAAAACAAACCCCAAGCTGTTTTCTTTAACGCAAAGCCCAAGCAGTCTCCGGTGGGTGGGATGAAGCCCGACCACACCACGCACCATAAACTGAACGCAGGTTCTCCGCCCTTGTGTCATCTGATTTCACGACGCTGGTTACGCAGGTCAAATATACTGCACGCGTTTCGGTTCTGCGGAGCAACTGCCAACCGAACCAAACCGAACCCACTGGGCTGGAGATGCTGAGACAGGCAGCCCAAAGACATCTGTCTGCTACAGGGCTGGAGATGATGAGACAGGTAGCCCAAAGACACCTGTCTGCTACAGGGCTGGAGATGCTTAGACAGGCTACCCAAAGACATCAGTCTGCTACAGGGCTGGAGATACTGAGACAGGCAGCCCAAAGACATCGGTCTGCTACAGGACTGGATATGCTGAGAGAGTGACCAGACCCTTTCTCAATTGCAATGCGCATTTGCTAGGCATTACGGGTCTATGCAGCAAAATGGCTAAGCCTCACCCAAAACACTCCCTTAGACAAATTTCCGCTCAAATAAATCTCTTTTCCTTAAACGCGTTAGGGTGGGGGTCAAATCGATCCCCCCGAAAATTTTCCAAAATGGTTTCCAGCTCCGCATCCAGAGTGCCTCACCTTGCACGAATTTCAAAACTTTAGTGGAACATGTCTAGGGTCCCGGGAAAATAAGCAGGAGTTCACCACCCATCTGATACGTTGTAGACTGTATTAGGTTACACTAGTATAGCTATTTTGTCTGTCTGATGATGTTAATAGATTTAACGAAGCGCTACGAGAGAACCATATGGGTGCAGTCCTATCAAGCCTTCCGAATGATGGTAGGACAATTATCTGGAGCGTTGAAGAACATCGCAAGAGCAGTAAGAATTGACCAACTTGATGTCATCTTTGCGATGACATGCATTAGAAAAAACTGTTGTCGGCAGTCATAAATGTTAATGCATATATATATATATATATTATATATATATATATATATATATATATATATGCACATGTTATATCGAGATATTATATATACATGTATATCTATATATGTATATATAATGCCTCCCTCTCTCTCTCTCTCTCTCTCTCCTCTCTCTCTCTCTCTCTCTCTTTCTCTCTCTCTCTCTCTCTCTCTCTCTCTCTCTCTCTCTCTCTCTCTCTCTCTCTCTCTCTCCTCTCTCTCTCTCTCTCTCTCTCTCTCTCTCTCTCTCTCTCTCTCTCTCTCTCTCTGTCTCTCTCCTCTGCGCCGAGGCGTGACCCCAGCCATGGCAAGTGTATGGGTGGCTCCCAGCATCGTGTAAAACCAAACAGACCATCGGTACTCCCGACCAACCCATAAGCGTTTCTGTATGGAAGGTGCCCGCTCGCAGTTACACCTCGAGCGCTAGCACCTGCGTGCTTACCTTTACTATTGAGTACACAGCTGGAAGATTCCAGACGAAGAAGGTTTGCTCTTCGTCCGTTTTGAGTTTTTTAAACTCTTCGAACTGGCTTTCAGGTACCGACTGAACCACCTGCGAAGCAGGTTTCACATATGAATAATTATGCCGAGACGCAACTAATACTATCCTTTACCTAAACTGCTCAGAAGACAATATTTTCTACCTGTCAGCTGTTCATGCGCCCACTCTGAACACCGCTGGCAATTATCCCCGAAGGTGCACGAGTAAAAGACATCACGTCTTTGATATAGTCAGCCGGTAATTGGCTTCGACAGGGTCATCTGTTGCTCTTGAAGCACGAATGTGCGAGATAGACAGTGCTGGTAAATGGGTCTAAAACACAATGATTTCTGCGTTGCTGAACGGTAACATTGACTGCATCTGAATTTTGCGGAGCTTCGCGAAAGCCATTAGTATCAAGATTATATAAGTTTCACGCAACTATACTTTTCGCCAGCTGTCAACACTGCATATGTGTAGCTGTATTTGCACTGGTTCCGCTGTACGGTGTTGCGCGCATGCCGCACACCTCGGGAAAGGTGCCGGGAAAAATGCAAGCGGTTGCACAAACGAGTGGGGACAGGAGATTAGGAATGTGTAGTGGCTGAATATGGGCACAGCTTTATGAGTAACGGGTGGATTGGGTTTGGTAAATCTATCCGTTCAAGACCTCTGCAGACCTCCAGCTGTACCTGGGAGTCGAACGTCATGAAGTAGCCGTCCTTCTTGGTTTGCAACGTAGCGTCGCTGCAGAGCCGCTTGTAACCGGCGTCTATGACGGCCATCTTGTGAGCCTCGTCCCCTGAGGCGGCCGGCTGCTGACCCGAGGTCACGGCCGTCGAGTCCGCGTCCTCTGAGGCGGCCGGGTGTTGACCCGAGGTCACGGCCGTCGAGCCTGCGCCCACTCCGCCCACCGGTGCACCGGCAGAGTCCGTACTGAAGGATACTGATTCACCGCCGGCTTCGCTGACTGCCACAACGTCTTCCTGTTGACCATTGGTAGCCACTTTGGCGTCCTGGGTACTTGTGTCGTTGTCTAAAGCCATCTGGAAGCCGGATATGAGCGTTGTCAGGAAAATAGCTGGGGAGGGGCGGATCATCTTTTCCCAGTTGCCAGCTTCCATGCAGCCTTCCTCACAAAGATTTGTTACAAACCGTTTGCATTTTGCTATTTTTAATTTAGAATTTACAATGTACAAATTTAAATTGTTTCATGAAAGAGTGCGCGTTGTACAATCGAAGTTGCATAGCTCGATACCGTGTGTAACTTGGGATGCGGCTAGAGCCTTTCAATTTCCTCTGGACTCAAGAACATTTTAATGACTGTGAAAATATCAAAACGGGTGATATCAATGGGAATATTTGACAATAGGTCACATCTGGCGCACTATTGACGTCTTTCCAGCGATACTTAGCTTAAATGACTGGTGTGACTACTTAAGTGACTTGGCGTAGGTGGCGTGCTAGCGTACTTGCTGATGATGTGTGTGTGTGGAGCGTTCGCGTTTTTGTCATAGCAAGGCTGCTGACACGTTCACAAATAACGACTAACAAGTCAGCCAGGTAGGCATTGACTATTCTTTAATTGTAACAGCGAACTATTTGAGTTATCGGGAGATGTCCGAGCTTGCACCATGGACAGAAATATTTAAGAAGCCCTGCCCGATCTATGCTCTAATTGTTCGGTTTGGTTTGTTAAATGGTCTGGGTCAATGTCGCTGTGGCAGTGATCTTGTGGGAACAAGATCTCTGCTGCCAGTTGAGTAACTACGGGTGGGATGGGGTGGGGACCTCCAATTTTCACCTGCCACTTTGTCTGCACCAAGTCACCCATGGATGCATGCTAGTCATGTTTTCCCTTTCGAAACATTACTCTCAGGTCGGCCTGTGTACTCTATAATTTAGTCGCCACCCGGGCTTGGCTTATCCTCAGTTTCAGTGGCATCGACATACACTGTAATACAAATATATGCATTTTTGTTTGTTTGCAAACATAACGTTTAATCGGAATGCTTAGCTCCAGGTGTACATCCATCCAAACCGAAATCTGGTTTCATTCCAAGACCATTTGTGACAAGCATGAAAAGGACAGCATGACAAGTATTGGCACTTGCATTATCCAGTAGGCTCATTGTAAATGATTGACGCTTCAATGAAGCCACATTAAACATATCTTAGCGTTTTCTTAAAGAATGACAATGGTGCATACACATACTTTTCTCAATATCCACACGACTGTGCCACATATTCTGCATCAAGGGGTAGGCTTTTAAATAATCTGACATCCTAATGAGGCTCTGAGATGTTGCTTGCCTGTTTGGCCATAGTACCTACTATTCATGGCAAGTGGGAATGGTTATCATTCATAATGCAATTCAACACAGCAATAAACACGATTTCGAATTACCCATCCCAGGCAAACCTAACACACGTCCGGGTGTCCGGCTGGATGCTCTTCGCTGGGGTGGGGGGTCAATTTGACCTCCCTGAGATCTCGGGAATTAAGAGAGCTAGACACAATTTGTAAAGTGTATTGACCTGCACGTGAATTCACTTAGGCCAAATTTTGAGGTTTCTAGGCCATGCCCTTCAAGTCACATAAGGTAAAACACGGTCAAATTCCAGGTTGGTCTCCAAAGTGCCCCAGAACCTAGATAACTGCTTTAAGCAAAATGCCACAAGCTCAGTTAAAATCAGTGACCTTGTTTAACCTTTTTGAGGTCATGTGACCAAAATCATACGAGACTGCTCTTAGTTTTGCATTTGAATAAGCGACAAAGATTTCGCTTGGCAGCATGTTTCTAAAAAACAAAATGTTGACCCGAGTCATCTTAGGTCAATGACCTATTCTGACCTCTAAGAAGTCCATGGAAGATGCATAATACGCGTTCTGCCACCACTGAGTTCCAAATGAGCACCATAAACTATCCCATACAGCAAGCCCTAGAATAATAAGGCATTTCGGTTTTGACCGTGGTCTGACCTTCATATCTGACCTAAGGGCAACGGAATTTGCTCATTCAACATTTGTGCTGCCTATGAAAGCATCTCAGAGATGTATGGCTTCGTCTAACACTCCGTTGCTGCATCAGATTGAATGATTCCCTAGAAATTGCCTTCGCTGAAACCATGGCCTGACTTTGACCTGCTATAAGTCAGCGATCTTACAAGGTACATCTACAATTTTACACCGAACGATCCGCAGTTTGGTTGTCTACAAGCCGACGCCCAGCATTGCAGTCACCTGATGCTGAGCGGCGTCCGCCGTCGCAGGTAACACCAAGCCGTGAGCGGCACGCGACACAAAATACCTTTGCGTATACAAATGATGCTACGGAGCGCTCCTTGAGCCGTCGTGCGAGAATGTTCCGGTCTAGGGTCTAATATGCGGATCAGACGTGGCCCGATCGATTGCCATTTTGGCGGAAACTTAATGTGCTGTGGAGTATGGACTCTTTGCACGAGCATGCTGTTAGCATTGCTTTGGACTCTCACTTCTCTAAGACCACTCACGTGATGCAAATAAAACTATGCATAACATATGACCCAGAATATATTGTCTGGCGTACAACTTGGTACATACGGCAAGTTCTGCAACCGATGCACCGGCCCAAACAGCAACTAATCACAGACTGGAAACCCAAAACGCGTGTTGGCAGAGATCGCACGGTAGCAGAAATACCGTCGCAGCTGGGCTCCACATATTGCCCAAGCTCCAGCTCCACCGCAGACGTCCTCGGCAGTGTGGCGCTGCGTCGCACTCCTAGTGTGAGCCAGATAGGGCAAGATGGCCAGCGGCGCCTGCACTTTGTCCCTCAGCTCGCAGTCGCTGAGGTCTCGCAGTGGAGGCTGTGTGACTGGTCCGTGCCAGGGATTCAGTTCGGTGCACCTCACAGCCCCGAAGTTTACTGCTGAGATGGCAAAGACCCTCGGCTGAGGAAGACCCTCGGTTTGCTACTCACGAGCGGCGCGACGATCGGAACCGCCTGTTCGCGGACCATGGGGTTCTCATCCCACACCATGCCCAGCAGCAGCTGTTTCGGACGGACCTGAAGTTGCGTAAGCCAAAGTCGCAGTCGCTGTTTTGCCGGATGGCGGACCATTTCGGCACATAATGGCCGACCACTCACTGGACGAGGTCCTTGAGAGCGCTGCTGGAGGTCTCGGTAGATTGGCACGGGCCCCGACCTAGGCTTGAATGCCACAACGTCCCTCTCCAGACCTCTCCGGCACAGATCTCGCCGGTGGGTCCAGAAAAAAAATTCGACCCCGCGGTCGTGCCATCCAGGCTCAGCAGAAGATGGAGGAGGTTCAGCTCGTTGCCGTGCAACTGGCAGATGAACCAGCGTGCGGATGACTCAGTGGCCAGCTCAAACAGCCAGAACACATCGCCCATCGTTTTGGTGTTGACTGCCGTGCCATCGCAGCCGAGCACATTGCTGTGACCATCGCGCTGTGGGCTCACGGAATGTAGCTTGTTGAACAAGTGCAGGGTGCGGCCGAACTCGGACGTAAAATAGGTCACGTGGCGGCTGCATGGCTCAGTGATGACAACCATGTGTTTTTCGACGGCATTCATCTGGCTCCGTGTGGATCATGTAGTTTCTGCCTTCACGGCCGTCAGAGAAGAGGATGGGGAAACCCGACTCATGGATTGCTTCAAAACTTAAACGAGCTGTCTCCTTTCTCGCTCTGTCTCTGACGCAGCACATCTTCTTAGGATCTACGACATTCGATTTCAAGTAGCCAGTTCATCTCTGCTGTCTTGTTGAAAGGCGTTGATGATAGCAGCAGCGGCCTGGTTCCAGCCACCGTGGTTGTCAGCCGCCAGAACGATGCTAGTCAGATCGTTAACGTCATAATCTACAGTGGCAGTAATCTCAACCAGAACGAGCAATCGGTGTCGTCGCCATCTTCTACCAAGTACGGAACCGTATACAAATCCGTGCTCTCGGCTGACTCGCCAGCGCTACGACCACTTGGTCCCAGGGCAGGTTCTGGGTCGGCACTAGCAGCCAGCGCTGGCTCAGCAGGTGGCGCGGGCTCAGCAGTCGGCGGGGAAGGCGACTCAGGTTCAGCAGCAGACAGTGCCTCCCTGGCGGCCGAGCCACGACGCCTCTGGAGTTGTCTGGCCATCCTCCGCACCTCGCGAGCCTCCCTATGACAGTGTTAACCTGCTGAGCTTGCAGAACGCTGGATACATGACAAGTGCGTGTAGTTATGCTTAAATGGGCGGAGTGCAAGGAAGTGATGAAGCTGCCGGTGCACACAAGGCTCTTGATAAAAACAATATTAAATGCTATCCCAGAAAACAACAGCAATACCTCTCCAACTTTCTCACCACCCAGCATCTCACACAAGGTGCAGTGCCTATGACAATGATGACTCACAAGGAATGCTTGCCTGCATACAAAACTTGTTAAGACGGCTGTATGCGCATCCATAATAATAAAGCACTATATTTTCAGAATTCTTAAGTGAACGACAATTTTGCGAAGCCGTATCGTGCGAGCTTTTACCAAGCATGTGCATTAATGAGCCGTACTGAGCTGTCCCTGCGGCCTAAATAAGTTACTAATATAATGGCATGCAATGAATTAATTACATGCTGTAATATTCCAATAGGTTCAAAATGTTGGCAAGATCATAATAAAGTAGGGAATTAACTTTGAACACCCATGCAGAATGGGTGTTAGTGTTTCTTTCATTTCGCCGACATCACTACCTTGTCATGTTCGAACGCAAACCTAAAGAAACAGGCAGGTATCAATATATCGCATTTTAGTGGGAGTCATTCGACTTAAAAATTCCAAAA